GAACCAATTGGCTTGCAAGTAGTCAAGTGACCTACGAGATTGATGGAAAGCAGACCGGTTACTTAAACGTAAAAAAAGGAAGAAAAACAGGTGTGCCCTTTCATAAAGGTCAAATAACAAGGCTAAAGGGGGCTTTGAATGTTTAAAAAATTGACAGCGATATCAATGGGTACCCAGTATCATTTCACATGTATTGTGTAAAAATGCGTCGTGAAAACAAATGTGGCGTTGTTACCTAAGGCACAATAAGGGTTCCCAAAGAGGGGATTGTACGGATTATTGTCACAGATCGCTGAATAAAAACAATTACCAAACTATAAATACGTGAATCTATGATTTAAAAATGGGACGCTCATATTTTGCTGTGCAGCAGAACAGGCATTATTCACGTAATGCATCCATGCTCAACTTACTGCACTGTAAATGAAAAACTAAGCCAACATGTGTTTCCACTTTCTCTACTCGGAAGTCTTTGCTTGGCTTCATGCAGTAACCTATAGCCCCTGTGGTTGTTTGGTGTCCACCTTTTTTTGTCTCATGTTCATGCAATTACCCATGGCTTATGAGCTGTCATTCACAGGTCTTAGCAAGTTACTATGCACTTATTATTTTACACTTTAATTAATGTGTATTTAAAAGCAATTTTTTTAATTCAAAGAATTGTTTAAATAAAGTACTCTGGGTTTTATATTCTGCTCTTTGACAAATGTGGATGCGCGACTGTAATCTGGCATCGTTATAATGTTAAAACTAGATTCACAATTAACAGCACTGTAAATCCACTGCTGCATGAATGCATCCCCATTGCCGTATCAGTCATGGGGATTGCTTGGCCATACTTCACTACACTAGACAGTGCGGGTTTGCACTGCATGGCCTGTAAACAATCCAGATATCACTCGCCACTCACGCGTTCTGCTTTGGCTGTGTATTGACCACAAGTCACCAGGTTCATAGTGCATTTTCTTAGTGCATTGCACTCCATCACCACCATCCCTGCATGTTGTACTTATTACATTTAAATCTGTATTGTGTTTATTTTAAATGTTTTCAGTTATTAACGCAGTACTTTCATTAGTGTAATAGCTGTTGTTTAACAAACTTTTTTACATCAGCAAAATAAAACCCGCACCATGGGCATGACTGGGCAATTGAGTGCCCCTGTTCTCGGCAAACAGCATGCTACTCTACCCTATCTTGATATAAGCAAACAGGATAGTACGATTGCTTATTGCCGCAATAATTTTGGCAACAGTACATCTTATGAGAGCATGCACACACACACACACAAAGGAAAACATTCTCACGTCATCCTGTAAAATATTCCAAAATTATTTCCTGTGCCAGAGCAATTTATGCCAATGTGGGGTTTCGTAAATGTCTGAAGTTTTCATTAATTTTGTACAGACAAAGACAACCAACCATCACAGACATCTGCCTGCAAACAGCTGTTACGTGGCAACAGCATGAGATCCACTATTTTTTGTGCAGAGAGTACAGAGGTGGGTGAGAGAATGTGGCCTGAGGGATTTTACACACCTTGACAATACAACAGCCCTCAACAATGGGTTTTTTTATATATAGCTGCAGCAGTCAGTGTTTGCACATTATTTAGTCGTTGCCTGTATATGTTTATGACGGCTAATAAATTCCATCGTCGCTGAAATCATCTTTGAACGCTGCCTTTAAACATCTTGCCCTTTTTCTGTAAAGACAATGATAGTTTTTGTTTTTTTTATCGGTCGATATTTTATGAGCATTCGAACAGCCTCATTGATTTTTACATGTAAACTTGGAGCATCTCTTTGCTTCGACAGAGTTGTATGTGTACTGTACGTGTACAGCCAGTTTTTTTCAATCCACTGCTGGATGAAGGCCTCCCCATACCTGATGGGCCATGTGAAATATATTACCATTCTTTACCACACTGGCCAGCGAGGGTTGGTAAAGGTATGCGTGGTGGAGGGAGGGAGGGTATAACATCAGTGTATTTCTCCACACTGCTTTCTACTGTCAACAAAGCCTGTATTTTGTAAATAGTGGTCACCCAACCAAGTATTGTCCAGACCCAAATATGATTCGTTTTTGACATTTTACGAGATTGGGCATATTCTGTGTGATTTGGTAATTAGCAGAGTTAACATGCGTCAATTATTGTCAGCTCCTTGTCGTGCCCATGCAGAATGTTAAAAGGACTATAACTGTAGTACTGTGCAACTACAACATTATCCATAAGAGGTGTTTTCGGGTAAGTTTGCGTAAATATACATGTGTCATTAAACCCGCCACCACCCGACACAGCCAATTGACACGTAAACAAAACGTGCCAATTAGATACTAGTTCAGCACACTGGTGTGTTAGAGAGTAAACCCATAACATTTACAATCCGAGTACGATGTATCACCGGTAATTACAACCAGCCTCATTAGGCGACAGCCAAAACCTTACTAATTGGCAGTGTCGGGTGGTGGCGGGTTTAACGCCACATTTATATGTACGCAATCTAACCCCCCAAAAAAACCTATTATGGATAATATTGGTCTCTAAAATCTACGTATTAAACTACAGTATTGTAATTAATTATCAAACTGTAAAACCTGCCGAAAAGACTTACCTTTAATGACCAACAAGGATACATATAATCATAACAAAGCATTCATAGTGACAAATGAGTAACCATTTAACACAATGAACCTTAGCTTCAATACTTGCATACAATAACCTACACTAGTGTACTGTATGTCAAAACCTGTGTGTGCCCATGTGCTCTTATTCTGTAACTATTCTTTGCAGAATACTATGAAAGGGGTAAAGTAAGATAACAAAAAATGACAAATCCTAGACCTCAGACATAACCTGCTACACCATTCTACGACCATCTTTGTGTAGATATAAATTATAATCAGATGGACATTTTTTGCTGAATGTAAGGCCAGGCATAGGAGACATTTATGCAATGCCTTCACATGGCCCAGCAGGAAAAGCATTAATGGAAATGGGATTATGGCCATGTGAATGAATGAGTGGGCTGCAGCAGATGGGTTACCACAAAACACTAGCAGTGCCAATAACAGAAAAACAAGAACAGAAAATCCCTTTTTGTATTAAACAGCAGCCACTGAAATACATTATACATATGTCATGAGTTTGAGAATAGAATGTAAAATTTTCACAGAACTATGGACCATAAATTATTCTAAGGTATTTTCCAGAATTAAATAAAACCACACCAGTGTAACGTATATGTCATTAGACAAAACACACAGATAATACAGTTTAAATATAACTGCATAGCCAGAAAATGGTCCTGTTCACAAGTTAAAAAATACTGTATTGCATATTAACTGAGATCATAATTTTGCAAATACGGGAAAATACACTTCAAAACTGAAAAATAAATCTGGATTTGCAAGGTTAATGCAAAGGACAAATAAGCTCATCGACATTTGTAAATGCTTCCAAAGAACTCTTTAAGAAAAAATGCAATGGAAACCAATTGTGCACTGCCACACACACCGAGTAACATTTCAACATAAACACGGTCAAGCGCCATGTGCCTAAAAAGATTCGGTTGGATTAGTTAACTCGCAAGGTTCTTGGAGCGTGGCCCCACACATTATCAACAGGGTTAAAGGTTAATAGCAATCTTAACAATCTTTGTTATCAAAACAAAACGAAGAATGCCATTCACATTTGAAAGTCCGAGCTGACAAAAACACATGAACAAAAATGTCCGATGACATTTTCGTAAACAAATATATTTCCTGTTTAATACGTGTAAAACATATCCTCAATCTCCTATTCATTCTCCCCCAACCACCCTTTCACTGGCCCAGTTTGGCTCTCCAAACAACCAAACCATTTCACCGATCTATAGACATCACAACAGAACCAGTAATTATTTTTGTATATTTCTCTGTCTTCTCTTTACCTCCCTCTTGCCTTCGACCTGCTAGGTAACCTGAGCTTGATATCAACCGGGTCTGTCCCCTTTTGTGGCGCAGAAATAATTTCGGGACCCAGCATACCACATCAGGTATACCTCTCGCAAAGGTTATGGCAACTAATCACATGTCTTCTCCAGTCATTCAGTAGAAAGCTAAGCCCTGTAGGTAACTAAAGCATGTTCCTACGTAGGTCTACTATGAACGTGCATCACCTCCTACTAAAAATGCGTGTCCATAATTCCTTGTACATTGGCTGCTTAGTATCATCCGAGCTCAGTGTATCACTAAGATCGATTGGGAACCCCATGGCTATGGAACACCAATAAAGTCAGTGCTGTAGATTGTAAAATACTATGATCATAAGAGTATGGTAGTTCATTAAAATGTACTTCATCGTGCAATTTCCTTTTTAAGGAACGAAAAGCCCTTTGATGTTGTACATATTTAAAAAGATGTGGGTTGCTACATTCTTCTCTTGTGATATATGCAGGCGCTAATTACCGATGTCGAGGTCTGCTATCCACGAGAGGGCTTCAGGAGAGAGATCATGCAGTTTTGCAAATCCTCCATTGAAGGGGTGCAGACTACAGTGGTTTACTATATGGTCCAAGTTTGGATTGTATGGCCACAATCGCATCGCACTGCTGTGGCTTGTCTTTAACTTTACATATATGACGGAGATGTGTGCATTGTCCTGATGCTCTGATTCATGAAATGTACGATTTCTTGCCAAGTGTTAAACAGAATTTTACAAAATGTTGTGACCATTGTACATAGAAAGCAATTATGCTCATATTACATTAAATGAAATGTTTCATGTACTAATATTTAAATTTCCACTCGGGAAACATGAATGCGATATTGTGGACCGAGACAGTTGACTCTTTCCAAGTACAAATGCCAAACACACACACATACAAAATGTATTGTCATGGGCATCCTTTGGAACAGGGAAATGCTATATATTCATTATACAAGATATCACAAAAGATAATGCAAATGGAAAACAGAACGAATGAACTGCAGCCAAAAAAGCAAAGTGTAGAACTTACAGTTTTCAGCCTGGAAATCTGGTACGAATTGTTCATCATCATCTGGTACCTGGGCTGGAGACAGGGTGATAAATATTAATATGTTAAAGTGTTAAATTGCACAGCGAAAGCAGACTTAACTTTAGCATCAACACTTAAATGTCAGAAATAGTTTGAATGTTTGTGTTTATTCAAAGAAAGAAAACATCTGACAATAATACAGAGTGCCTCAAAAAAATATTACCATTTACATGGGACTCTCGTTTTTAATGGAAAAAGAACTGATAATACACTGTAACATGATAACAAATGTTAATAGCTTCAAAATTTAAATTCTCCACTTGTTCCCATCATTGTCAACACATGTTTGGAATCTTCTCCGGTGGTCTCAAAAGCCCGGAGACACATTTTTTGTGGTATTGTTGCAAATTCTCAGAAGTGTTATCATTTTTTTAAAGCACCCTGTATATGTGACAGTATTTGAATTATAAGGATGTGTAAATGGGAAAGGTTATGCACTGTTTTTAGCCTGTGGTTATACACAGCACTGCATTTTCTCGATGTTTTATATTCAGCAAAACATGATTAATTGTTAGTTGGGAGTGAAATAAATATAACGTAAATACTGTCTGGTATACGAATTACACTGCTTGTTAAACAAAAACTCCCAATACATCTCTTGTACGGTACATTTGTATCTAAAATGTCATCTTGTAATTACAGTGACATTTTTTAAATTCGATTACACGTATTCACTAATTTATTTCAGTACACCAGAAAATGTGTTCGGTCCTATGTTTACCCCGAGCTAGCGTTCTCTTTGTGCCAGTGCCAAAACGTGCTGTGTGCCAGTTGACTACATCGATATAACGTGTAAAACGTACAAGTGTCATTCACTGCAGCGACTACAAGCATGGCTTCCATCCCTGTAAACAAATTCTGAGGGGTACATTCCATACTGAATTATGCAGCGATATCACACACATCGCAACATGTTCACGCACACCAATGGTCTCAATTAGTATTATAATAATATGCCTACCTTATTTCATTATTACATTTTTACTTAAAACTTTCGTGACTGCTGGGATTCATATTCTATGGCCCGATATCTGTCCGAGACCTTACAGCCATTCACTGGTAAGACCACCTCTTCTGTACTTAACTCATCTCACTTGGTATCGTCAATTAAGGACATCTCACTGTCCCCAGATGATATACTCGTCAGTTTTGACGTAGTTTCTTTGTTCACCAAAGTACCTGTGCCCGATACCATTGCAATCATTGAAGACCTGGTCCAACAAGGATTGAATGCTGATGTACCAGCCCTGGTGAGACACTGCCTCACCAACACTTACTTCACCTGGAATGGAACATTCTACAAACAAACTGAAGGCACCTCAATGGGTTCTGCCTTATCTCCGGTTGCCAATATTTTCACGGAAAATTTTGAGATGGACGCCATCCAGGCATCCACTCTACGCCCGTCCCTGTGGAAGAGGTACGTGGATGACACGTTCGTCATCTGGCTACATGGCCGACCGGATCTAAACCGATTCCTCAACCACATCAATTACATACACCCAGCCATCAAATTCACCATGGAGGTAGAAAAGGATGGCATGCTACCTTTCTTGGATGTCCTAATAAAAAAGAAACTAGATGGCTCAATGAGCCATTCTGTCTACAGGAAAATAACCTATACACCTACCTAAAACCTGATTCCCACCACCATCCATCCCAGAATAATTCCCTCATCAAAACACTACACCACAGAGCTCAATGTATCTCCGACCATGAAAACCTAACAAGTGAACTCAAACACGTACACCAAGCTCTCAAGGCGAATAGATATTCTGACTACACAATCGGCAAAGCCATCACCCCAACCGTGAGGAAGGAGCCATCTGAGGATCCAATCAAAACCATCACCCTGCCATACATAGCAGGGGTAACCAAAAATATTTCCAAAATTATGAACAAACACAAGATCCAGGTCCAATTTAACACAGTACATAAAATTCATTATCTGATCCCATCTGTGAAAGACAAGATATCTGACATGCAATATATCCCGGCGTCTACAAACTTAGCTGTATCTGCAGCAGCAGTTACATTGGGGAAACTAAGCGACATGTCTCGGACCGTGTTCGTGAACATAAGGCAGATTTGAAACACAGTAGGACCAATACTTCTGCCCTGGCTGATCATTATTTTAATGCAGCTGGCTCACTCGAAATTGATTTCTCTAAGACGATGGTACGTTGCAAGCCTACTGGCTATTAACAAAGATTCGTTCATAAAGCCATCCATATATACAGACAGAGACAATTTAAACCGAAAGTAACGTTATAGACGCGGAAATCATTGGAAATATGTCATCAACCACTTTGGGTCATGACTTGATTTGTGTTTTCTTGTCCACCTCCACCGTCATCAGTGTGGGTGTGTGGAGCGAGGTGCAATGCTTTGATTTGGTATAGACCTACTGCCTGTGTCAGAGCCTTCTACATTAACATTAGCTGCCCCGCCCATCTCTAAACCTTTATAAACAGCTCTTTGATTGGTGTAGACCTACTGCCTGTGTCGGAGCCTTCTACATTAACATTAGCTGCCCCGCCCATCTCTAAACCTTTATAAACAGCTTGCCCTCAGAGGCTAACCTCACTGTTCCTGATGACGACCGCTTGTGTTGCGATTGAAACGCCGTGACATTTTTATTCACTTTTTTATTATTTTATTGTTATTTTTTCTATCTACGTGACTTTACCAAAAGAACCATATAATATTATTTCATTATTATTTAGAATTTGTATTATTGTGCATATAACCATACATTTGTACACATTTATGCAAACACGGGTGTTTTGAATGTTCCAAAGAGGATAAAAAGTCTTAGCATCTTCAAATAAATAATACATGGGATAAGGCCTTTGCAATTGAAATTATGGCTTAATACTACTGTAGTTCAACAAGTACCCTTCACTGGAACATTGCAATCCCTTTCCATAATACAAAGACAATGGGCAGTGCAAAATAAAGTACATCACGCCACTTAAAATATATATGATTTTTTTTAAAGTATCGATAACATCCAAAAGGTTTGTAATGAAAGATACATGTACTGGATATCACACATCAATGAGATCAAACATGGGTACAATATCAATGCAAGCATATGAGTGACAGAAAGAGGGAAGGGTAGAGAACGGGTGGAGGAAGAAGGCTGTGAGAGTGGAATGGGTTCGAGGGAAATAGTGAGATAAACACAGAGAAAGAGAGGCTACATAAATAAACAAGTACATGCTTTATGTTGACAAATGTCTCTGGGCCCCAATGGTTTAAACGATGCCATTTTGCATGACTTCAGGCACTTAGAAAGACAGCCTTATTTTTAAGTAAACTGGTCCAGCCAAAGCAAAGCCAAGTTCCAAGACCCCTTCATTCATAAAATGCTTGAGCCTATTTTTAAATGTAGCGATTCACAGAACCAGCTGGGCACCGAGCCAGACTCAGCCATGCCCTATTCCAGGCGTCAGTTCCCATGCCGAGTGGTAAACACCACGCAACAAGTATTTTTTTTTTTTGCAAGGAGGGCATGCCACATCGGATAGCCAGGCGTCAAAATGTTTTTTTCCCAGAATTATACCACTGATGTTAGCGCCAGACACATGATCCTATGGCGAAGACCACTTTGCTCAGCGACCGAGCAAGAGCAGAGTGTATGGTGGCTCTCTCTCTCCCTCCACCCATACTGTAAGTAACGCAAGCTCCCAAGTAGACCCACGGGGCAAGATGGGACAGGTCTTGTCCTGATCCAGGCAGTAACAGCTGCTTTTGCCATTCCCTCAGCAAAGCTCAGTCACAGCCACTGGCTTTTATTAAACCTTTAAGCTGCTATTTGGATGATCTATTGCTTGGATCCCACGTCGTGCCATTTTCGATTGCTCAAAGGTCATATGCAACACTACATGGCATCTGGCACATCAACTGGTATGTCAAATTTTCCAATGCTGTCAGCTTTCTCTCCTAAATAAACAGCAAAAGATTTGTGTGCAAACAGTCGTTCACCTATCATATTTTATATTTTTTAATGAAACCCATGGGAATTTTTTTTCAAAGGTGTCAGTCAAATGTCAGACATACACATCATGGGGACCATATTCAAAAATAAAACCTGATCTTTTTCTGGAGGATTTATTTGCCAAGGATTGGATTTTATGTGCAATAAAAACGTTTTAGAGAATAGACGTTTACATGGACATACGGTACTTGTATACCATCAGCAGATGTTCTTGTATGTACAATGTTTGTAAACTGGCATGGTGAGGAAATTTGGGTCCCTTGAAGACCAGTCAAGCACCCATACCAGTCAGTGAGAGGCAGGACAAATGGTGCCCCCTTCACCAACCCTTACCGCCCAGTGTTGTGAATTGTGGTCAAAACAACAACCGTAACCGACGCACATAAACCCCCAGTCCCAGTCAGCTCTGGATCCATCGACTGTGGCATCAGAAGGGATGCTGAAGGAGCAGGGATTTCCAAGCATCACTGAGTATGAACAGGACTCCCTCTGAATTTGACCTTCACTTCATTGTGTGTAGCAAACCTTGCTGAACCGGACACAGTGCTGACGAAAGGAGATACCTCAATACATTTATTGAGACTCTCAAATCAACGTTTTCTATGATAAAGGGGAAAATTACAGCAATTATGGAGGGGTAGGCTTCTTAGCATCTATGGGAATCGAGTGTAGATGTTTAGAATTCAAATGTCCTTTGCCCAACTTACATTTACTTTGCCCAACGTATATTAAGACTCTCAAATCACTGAATGTTAAAAGTAATTCAATATAAATGCCCATTAAACACTCCACGAATATGTATAAGTAAAAACACATTCATGAAGATAATTACACAACTTAGAAATGAGAGCTACACACACTAAACCAATGGAACGGGGACTTTAGTAGAGGTAGGCAAGAGGAATGGATCAGTTTAACACGTAGGCTTTCGCGACCGATCTAACCCAAAAACCTTTATTATGAAGAGGAATGGAGATGGGAAAGGACATGACATCAGAAAGAAAAAGGAGAGAGCAGAATGCCTCCTAGAGTTGGAAATCGTTTCGGTAATTAATGCATTTTTTTAAATCTACAAGGTGGACATGGAGGAGCCAAATTAGATAATTAAACATGAAATAGACTTTATTCTCATGGATAAACCCCTGAAAATTCCAACAGACTTGGGATGTATTCTCTATTTTCAGTTAAATAGTTCAAATTCTAATATCAGGCCGAGATATTAAATTTTGGATCATCTGAAAAAAGAAAATGGTTTCAGATTTATCTGGAAGTGGGACGTCACCAGAAGTGATGCCAATTCCATGACTTTGCGTCAGGGCTTTTCCCACCAAAAGCACCATAATGTGACATCATTTTATTCCACATGCAACGTTAAGTTTGCTTCAATCATACAAATATTAAACATTACGTTAAACTATGCTTCTTTTACCGACAGAACTGCATGTTTACGATAACACTTAAATTATGAATGTTTAAAAAATATTACCTTTAGTGCTTAGAAATGTATGTTATTAAGGCGTATTACATGTATTATGACATAATGAAAATAGAAAATGCAATCTGAAATGTGGTCAAAAACCCCCGACAAATGTGATCTCCTAAAAAGTTAAATGTGACTACTCACCCTCATAAATATACAGACCTCTGTAAAACCACAAGGAAAATAATTCGAACAGAAGGAAAACAACACACGAACATGATTGACGGTGCCACAATAAACAATGGGATCAGAAGAAATAAAACATTAGCAACAGGGGCTCAAAAGAGATCAAGATGAGCATCTACATCATTAGACCTCCTTTGCCAGTACCAAAATGTAATAATAGGATTTTTCCCCTTTTTTCTGGCAACAAAACTGAAACGTTCTTACGAGGATTCATGTCTGCATTAACCACAATACCGGCGTCATCTGGTCGAGCACCAATTGGGTCGAGGCTTAAAAGAAAGCCGTCCCTTGGTGTGGACCAATCAGTTTCAAGGACAATGCATATATTATCATAGTATGTTTTTTGTTTGCATTTTAACTGCAGGTATTGTGGTTAATGCAGACATGAATCCTTGTAAAAAGGTTTCAGTTTTGTTGCCAGAAAAAAGGGAAAAAATCCTATTATTAGATCAAGATGAATTATATAATAGATCATTGATACAGAATGATAAAAATGACTGATGGGCAAAATGAGTGATGGAATGGCAGCCAAAGGAAAGAATGCATCCATGAGGGCGACATGGAACAATAGGATCGGTTAGTCTACAGGGATGTGAGAGGTTAAAGCAGCACTGGTCTGCTAGGGATTATCAAGATATACAATTAGGAAAAATCATGGCCTCCACTAGAGGGCGCTCTAGAGAACCCCACTCAAGAGGATTTGGCCTTCTCTTCAGAGGTTTGAGTATTCACAATTTACCCCACCACACATGGCCTGCCGATCGACTTCACTGTTGTGAAGCCATTTATACCGATGGGTGGGACCAAAGCGGAGGGGTTTAAGAAACTTGCCAATTGTTTCCACTGCCGTGCCAGCAGATAAAACCGACTGCTTCTGGATTACAAGCACAGTCATTGATTGGAAAGGAGCCCTGCACTGGACGCTTATACAAAAATGTATTTTTGCAGTGCACTGGAGGAAATATCCATCAACACACACAGACCCTGTGGTGTTGGGATCATAACATCTGCATCCACTTCTTAGCTACATGTCAGACACTCCAGCACCATAGGTCAATTCCTCAAAGCTGCAGTTTTTAAGGATAATGCCACCTGCCTATTCATCAATGTTTACATCATGAGACATGTGGCACTTATCAGACACTCTATAAATAAGACTACTGATGATGACCACAGCTGAAGTTAAATTTGAGGAGCCACCGAGGCCTAGTGTTTGCGACGTGGTGGCATCCGTCAAAAAATACTTGTGAACGTCAACCGACTCTGTCATGGCAGACCATGCTATGACCAAAACAACTAAGGACAATACCTCTTCTCGGGTAAATTATATTTTAATTAAGCTGCTGCATGACAAGTGAATGTATGTCGTGAACAATATTTTTAGGTGGTTCTTGTTTCTTCGGATCATACTTCGTACTGGACATACATGGTTACAAAGTCCCTATGATGGTAGCACAATTTATGTAACGCACCGAGCAGATCACAACATGTGTTTCATTTACGGATTGCAAATGCATTCGCCATATTTAATGGCCTGTCCAATAAGACAACTGAAACAGATTAAATGCACCATTGTACACATATGTCACTGTCTCAGTACCCCTAGTTTATATATAAAACAAAAGAACAAAAACTCTGTAGACTAAATCTATTGACTTGTTTTTTTGGGAATGTATCATAATTCAAAGTGTAAATAAATGGTTGTGCCATTTCCCAGACCACTGAAGTCTGTGTACAGTGCTGTATTAGAGGAGTTGTGAAGATGAGATGGAGCTGAAATGTTCTACTGTATACAATAATGCCTCTTGGGCAAGCTTCCCCCATGAGCAGTATCTAAAGGTGTGTATATATAAAACACTGTTAAGATAAAACCTGTAAGGGATAAGTGTAATAATTCGAAAATGAACATCACAAACATCAATATATTTCCATATATCCATTGCAAAGCTAATGTAACTCAACAAACTCTAACTCAGTGAAATAAAGAGCATTTTAAATGAGCTGAAAAATACATCTTGGAAACATATTTCAACAACAACATGTGGCAACATATAAATCAATAATATCACGGCTGATTGTGTGGGGATCATTGGTGTATCACTGCACAGCACCTTAGACCCAGCTGTAACCAATAATTATTATTTGTTTACGTATTTTTTTGTACATGCTATTTCAACGATTGCACAATTTCTGTATCGGAAACTAAATGGGATGTACCATCGGACTGGGTCATTACCGGAAACTGGCCGATTCCCAACCCATCCGATCTGCTGCCTTTGGAAACCGGATTAACGTTGCAACATACTGTATTAAGATTGATCATAATGAAAATTTGAAATGTAGGAAAATTGTTGCATTGGATTATATCAACTTCATTTTTATTTTATCCCATCTATGTTTAAAAATTGTATCACGTTTTTCAAAACCAAATGTTACGTAAAATCAATAATAGTTGTACTAAACATTCGATATAGAATAGCAAATGGTAATTCATCCTATCCTGGCTTTCAGGACACTAACTGTGATTTTTGCTATGCTTAAATGGACTGTAAACATGTAATTATGCACCACCCCCATCATTCGATGATTTGTGTTGATTTGGGATACGAAGTTGATTAAATAAAATCTGCTTTAGCTCATTTGTCTCGTCTGTTTCCATCGCACCGTTCCATGTCTTTGCTTCGCTCTCATACTACTTGCACATAATTTGCATACATCATAAATATCGTAAAGGGTACAGACTCAAATCTGTGCGTGCATAACCCAATGGATCAATTGCAGTTAATGAATCTATGCAAGCCTATTGCCGAGTGTGCATCTCTGGAACCGCATGGAACTAGATTACTAGTTTGTTGGTCTACTCCAGCCTCCATTGTGCAGAAGCATCAAGGTAAAGTTGTTTTCTTCACACATGCTAATTTTAGCCTTTAAATTCATTCATTTCTACTATTAATATGTTATTATTGTAGCGATAAGAGTTGATTAGTCTATTATTGTCTACGATGTCGCAGGGCGTCAGCGAAGCTATCAATCAATCTTTATTTTACGTGCCAATATCGCCTCAATAAAATAGGCATTAGTCAACATTACAGCAGAACGAGGAACGGAACAGCGGCACAGAACAAAATCCATTATTGTTCTGTACTTTGATGCTCCAACCCACACTGACCAGCGTGGTGAAGTATGGTCAATTAACCCCCAACAACCCGCACAGCAGGGGGAGGCCTTCATCCAACAGTGGATCGACAAAAGTGCTGTACATGTACAAGATTGTATTATTAATATTGTAGTATATCACTATTCATTGAAAGTCTGACGTAATCTGTGTCGCATTGGATCGACCACAGTGTTCATATTGAACAGGAAATCTCAACAGTTCACCTCTCGTAACAGATCATACAACGGGGAATGCATTATAAGCACCATAAATTACCCACTATTTGGAAAATGTTAAGAAAATGTACAGACGTAAGAAATTGATAGATACCTTCGGCAAGCCAAGCTTCCTGCAGCTGGCTCAAGTCTTGGAAAAGGTCTGGAACAAATGGCACAGAGATATTTGATATATATTATTACTATTATTATTCGTATTACTATGTATTACTCCCAGTTACTTAACGGTATGACGCATTATGTAAAATGATATGAAATATTAATGACATTCTTTCGTTTGCAGAAAGGAGGTAAAGATCACGCTGCGTCATTGCACTGCAAGTCGAGAGTTAAAGAACCCAATTAGCTCTCAAGAAATAGCTGACATGCACCACACGTGAAATGTGTTATTGCTATTATACATATTTACACAGGAAAGTCTCACCAAGTCTCGTGATTTTTTCAGGAGGGTACTGCCAAGATTTTGCTGGAGACGTAATGATTGCTATGTACATTATATTCGAATTGAGTAATTTGTTACGTATATAGTAACCAAAATATGCATACACGTATTCAGAATAATAGGCATGTATTAGCTCTGGTTATAAATTGTCAAAGACGATGATTTATGTTCATTACCACCGCCACAAAACACCATACCATTGCCAGTAAATGTCACCATGGTGGTGCCTGTGGTGGTAGGAAAATATGTAGCGAGCTACAACGCAGGACACACCACACAACAGGAAAATTTCCAAAGTCACAACTCATCCAACCAACGATTCTCATACATCTTAAGCTGAAAACCAAACCCAACTGGGCAACTTATGAAAACTATGACCGGGACCTGCTGGTTAATAGTTCAGAATCAACCTCGTGCCCGGTAGGCATTACCCAACTTCTGCTTTGCCAAAACTCCTTACCTTCAGAGTCCTGTGCCAGGTCGGTCTGGGACAAGCGCCTCTTTCTGCCCTGTCCACATGCCCTTCCGCCCCCCTTGTCCGGCTCACCCTGCACACACCAAGGGAGGCAAGGACACACACACATTCACGACACTGCAGCTCATGGGATGTTAACCGTCTGCGATGGAGGCAGGAGACAAGGTCACAAAAGTAGGCGAGACACGCAGCCAGCTCTACTGGCACCCTGCGCCGCTCATTCCACAAACCCAATCGCCAAGTGAAAAAACAAACACCCACCTTATTGATATTTAATGACCTCAATCGAATAATCTTCTGGTGCAAAATTCTGCGATTTAAGTGTCAGGTCTTGATATAATTTTCTATTGAATGTGATGCTGTCCAAATACGTTTTCTGCAAGTGGTGTGCAGTACCAAAAATTAAGTTTATCTCCCACATCAACCATTAATTTAACACCACTGTTTCATCATCGTCATGAGCCATGATCAAGCCACTGCTAGATGACGGACTCCCAAAACCACTGTCATCACTTATGACCCTGTGACATTTCATGGGTAATAATTTGAAATTCATGAAGTGTTTATGGCAAAAAATTACATTCACAAACATTGTATCTATACTGGACTATGGATTATGCATCAGCACAATGTGCATGAAAAAAATCAGGCCATAGATTATGATTGGAATTTCTGCTGCAAATAAGCAATATCGCATAGGAGTACCTACAGTAAGGGAAAAAAAGTATTTGATCCCCTGCTGATTTTGTACATTTGCCCACTGACAAAGAAATGATCAGTCTATAATTTTAATGGTAGGTTTATTTGAACAGTGAGAGACAGAATAACAACAAAAATCCAGAAAAACGCATGTCAAAAATGTTATATATTGATTTGCATTTTAATGAGGGAAATAAGTATTTGACCCCCTCTCAATCAGAAAGATTTCTGGCTCCCAGGTGTCTTTTATATAGGTAACGAGCTGAGATTAGGAGCACACTCTTAAAGGGAGTGCTCCTAATCTCAGCTTGTTACATGTATAAAAGACACCTGTCCACAGAAGCAATCAATCAATCAGATTCCAAGCTCTCCACCATGGCCAAGACCAAAGAGCTCTCCAAGGATGTCAGGGACAAGATTGTAGACCAACACAAGGCTGGAATGGGCCACAAGACCATTGCCAAGTAGCTTGGTGAGAAGGTGACAACAGTTGGTGCCATTATTTGCAAATGGAAGAAACACAAAATAACTGTCAATCTCCCTCGGCCTAGGGCTCCATGCAAGATCTCACCTCATGGAGTTGCAATGATCATGAGAACGGTGAGGAATCAGCCCAGAACTCCACGGGAGGATCTTGTCAATGATGTCAAGGCAGCTGGGACCATAGTCACCAAGATAACAATTGGTAACACACTACGCCGTGAAGAAATCCTGCAGCGCCCGTAAGGTCCCCCTGCTCAAGAAAGCACATATACATGCCCGTCTGAAGTTTGCCAATGAACATCTGATTGATTCAGAGGACAACTGGGTTAAAGTGTTGTGGTCAGATGAGACCAAAATGGAGCTCTTTGGCATCGACTCAACTCGCTGTGTTTGGAGGAGGAATGCTTCCTAGGACACCAAGAACACCATCCCCACTGTCAAACGTGGAGGTGGAAACATTATGCTTTGGGGGTGTTTTTCTGCTAAGGAGACAGGACAACTTCACCACATCAAAGGGATGATGGACGGGGCCATGTACCGTCAAATCTTGGGTGAGAACCTCCTTCCCTCAGCCAGGGCATTGAAAATGGGTCGTGGATGGGTATTCCAGCATGACAATGACCCAAAACACACGGCCAAGGCAACAAAGGAGTGGCTCAAGAAGAATCACATTATGGTCCTGGAGTGGCCTAGCCAGTCTCCAGACCTTAATCCCATAGAAAATCTGTGGAGGGAGCTGAAGGTTCGAGTTGCCAAACGTCAGCCTCGAAACCTTAATGACTTGGAGAAGATCTGCAAAGAGGAGTGGGACAAAATCCCTCCTGAGGTGTGTGCAAACCTGGTGGCCAACTACACGAAACGTCTGACCTCTGATTTCCAACAAGGGTTTTGCCACCAAGTACTAAGTCATGTTTTGCAGAGGGGTCAAATACTTATTGCCCTCATTAAAATGCAAATCAATTTATAACATTTTTGACATGCGTTTGTCTGGATTTTTTTGTTGTTATCCTGTCTCTCACTGTTCAATTAAATCTACCATTACAATTATAGACTGATAATTTCTTCGTCAGTGGGCAAATGTATAAAATCAGCAGGGGATCAAATACTTTTTTTTTAACGAGCACCTCAGGTGGCAATGCTTAGCGAGCACCTCAGTGGCAATGTTTACACATCGCACCAGGTACTCATTTGATGCCGAGTCGACCTAGGGGATGCCCAGGACCAGTTCAAATAATGATCACTAGTGTTGACAGGTTCGTAGGGCAGCACATGACCCGCTGCACTACGGCACCCCACTTACAGTGAGGGGAAAAAAGTATTTGATCCCCTGCTGATTTTGTGCGTTTGCCCACTGACAAAGAAATGATCAGTCTATAATTTAAATGGTAGGTTTATTTGAACAGTGAGAGACAGAATAACAACACAAAAATCCAGAAAAACCCATGTCAAAAATGTTATAAATTGATTTGCATTTTAATGAGGGAAATAAGTATTTGACCCCTCTGCAAAACATGACTTAATACTTGGTGGCAAAACCCTTGTTGGCAACCACAGAGGTCAGACGTTTCTTGTAGTTGGCCACCAGGTTTGCACACATCTCAGGAGGGATTTTGTCCCAATCCTCTTTGCAGATCTTCTCCAAGTCATTAAGGTTTCGAGGCTGACGTTTGGCAACTCGAACCTTCAGCTCCCTCCACAGCTTTTCTATGGGATTAAGGTCTGGAGACTGGCTAGGCCACTCCAGGACCTTAATGTGCTTCTTCTTGAGCCACTCCTTTGTTGCCTTGGCCGTGTATTTTGGGTCATTGTCATGCTGAAATACCCATCCACGACCCATTTTCAATGCCCTGGCTGAGGGAAGGAGGTTCTCACCCAAGATTTGACGGTACATGGCCCCGTCCATCGTCCCTTTGATGTGGTGAAGTTGTCCTGTCCCCTTAGCAAAAAAACACCCCCAAAGCATAATGTTTCCACCTCCATGTTTGACGGTGGGGATGGTGTTCTTGGGGTCATAGGCAGCATTCCTCCTCCTCCAAACACGGCGAGTTGAGTTGATGCCAAAGAGCTCCATTTTGGTCTCATCTGACCACAACACTTCCACAGAGTTGTCCTCTGAATCAGACGGGCATGTATATGTGTTTTCTTGAGCAGGGGGACCTTGCGGGCGCTGCAGGATTTCAGTCCTTCACGGCGTAGTGTGTTACCAATTGTTATCTTGGTGACTATGGTCCCAGCTGCCTTGAGATCATTGACAAGATCCTCCCGTGTAGTTCTGAGCTGATTCCTCACCGTTCTCATGATCATTGCAACTCCACGAGGTGAGATCTTGCATGGAGCCCCAGGCTGAGGGAGATTGACAGTTCTTTTGTGTTTTTTCTATTTGCGAATAATCGCACCTACTGTTGTCACCTTCTCACCAAGCTGCTTGGCAATGGTCTTGTAGCCCATTCCAGCCTTGTGTAGGTCTACAATCTTGTCCCTGACATCCTTGGAGAGCTCTTTGGTCTTGGCCATGGCGGAGAGTTTGGAATCTGATTGATTGATTGCTTCTGTGGACAGGTGTCTTTTATACAGGTAACAAGCTGAGATTAGAAATCTTGCTGATTGAGAGGGGGTCAAATACTTATTCCCTCATTAAAATCTAAATCAACTTATAACAATTTTGACACGCGTTTTTCTGGATTTTGTTGTTGTTATTCTGTCTCTCACTGTTCAAATAAACCTACCATTAAAATTATAGACTGATCATTTCTTTGTCAGTGGGCAAACGTATAAAATCAGCAGGGGATCATATACTTTTTTCCCTCACTGTATGCCTTTAATATAACACTCCACAAGAGGAAAATTACAAAGTTCACTGGTGATAAGTGTAAAGCACGAGGATTAAAGCAATTTAGAATTAAGCCTGTTCTGGGAGTGAAACCAAGAAAATTCCCAGTCATAATATTTGGGTGCCCAAATAAAAAAAATAACTTTCAGAGACTGTATTCGTTTCTCATGAGAGGATTCGACGCTACGATTAAAATGTCAACTTTCTAGCCCTTTCTCGGGCATCCTTAGAACTCACATCGCTCTCACTCAGTCACACATGCGTCTACATGTGTTAGATATAACCTTGTTTTGATACAAAAAAAAGCTATTACGCCCTGGGCAGTGAAAGGAGGGGTGGAGGGAAAGAGAATTAAAGGAATAAACGCGCTAACGAACCGCACGCGAAGCAACAAACACGCCTTTGTGAAAAAAAAAAACTCTGAAATTTCAACAACAAAAAACCGCAATTTTTTTTTTGCGCGCGGGCAGTTAAAATCGGCCGAGAGTTGAATGCCCTGAACCGGCACCTGCCCCCCACCACCACCCCACCGCCACCAGAGAACAAGCGGCGCTTTTAACGCCCCTCGAACACTGCACAGAGTGTAACGCGCCCTCGCCACGAGCCAGCAGTGCCCCACGCAGATCGCACACCGGACACATGACACAACCCCGAATAAGCACAAGCCCGAACCGGAGCGGGCAAAGCGGATGGGACCGACTCCATAATACAATATCGCTCTTTCTCTCTCTCTCTCTCTCGCTCGCGAGCCACGCGTCCCCTTCTCGAAGACGTCGGCCCACCACCACCACCACGGACTTCCACAATGAGCTCCGCCCGTGATGTTCGCTCAAGAACTTTGCATCCAACGGCTCCAATTGCGAACGGTGCACTTAATTCTCAATTGTTCTCATTGCTTATGGGGGGGAGGGTGTCACTCGCTCGTGGTGTACGAACTAGGCAAGGGTAAATGATACGGTACCGTCCTGTGGATGAACTAGTGCCGCCGTAAACAATGTGGAATTGCTGCCGCTGGCTCCGAGGCCTCCACCAACGGAGATGGGCAACAGCTCGTTTTGAGCACGGGGAGGACGTGATTCTCTCCAAGCGTTGCAGACATTGACGTTGCATTGTTTCGGTGCGTCGGCGGTATTACCTTCGAGGGCAGCTGTGGAACTATGGTTGTCGCGCAATGCGCTGTGAAATCCGGTTAACCCGAGTACGATCGATGGCCGCGTCTCGAAATCAGTGGGGGCGCACCGACCAAAGTGGGTGAAGTATGGACAAACAACCTCCCCCCCCCCACCACCACGATCCGCATGGCGTAGGGGAAGGAGATCCTCATCCAGCGGTGGATTGACAAAGGGCTGCGATTTACTATCATAGGAACACCGCAAGCCGACCATTGCGCCATGCACAACGCGACGTGCATTATTCGTGACAGTGCCCGACAAGCGTAGACTTTAATCATTCTCGCAAAGGCGTTATTACGGCTCTTTAAAAAAAAAAACACACACACACCACGACAAAACCAAAGCAATACACCGTCAAGCGTATTTATCCTATCACTGCCTGACCATCACACACACACGCACGCACGCGCGCGTGCGCGCAATCATAAAGCACTTTAATTCTCCAACGTAACCCATTGTTATCCTTTGAAGTGCGGCGTAGGATGTTAATAATTGCCACTAGACCTACGCCGCTTCACCAGCGTCATCCGCTTCACTTTTTGTCTTTCCTAAAGATCGCGTCGAAGCGTTCTTCACTCCAGCGGACTCAACGCGATGGGACTGCGATTCACACCAAGTGGAATCATCAGCGATGCCACCACCTCTTACTCCCCGGTGCGATGATCTGGGCACAACCATCCCGATGTAAAAACCAAAAAAACAAAAAAACAAATCACAGTTGTTGCGCCACAGCAACAATTCACCACGAGAGTAATGAGCCTGGCAGGCCAGCACATATAGCGACGACGCGCGAGAAACTTCGGTCTCGTTGCATCGCTTGCAAAGAGCGAGAATAATCGCTGCCATTTACTTAAACTGCCTTCTTTATAAGAGTACAACGCGGATCATTGTGGCCCATTTGGCACGGCCCTGCTTTCTTTCCACACACACACACGCGCATCACAGGCGAGTGCATGCATACTCACATTGCAGGTGACCGTCAAAGGCACTTGCTGGTCGAGGTACGGCTCCATCGCGCAGTTGATGACTACAAATGTGGAATGCGGGACGCTTGCTTCGCAAACTCGTCCCCCTCCACCACCACCAGCAGCAGCAGCAGCAGCGACCACTCTTCTCACTCTCTCTCGTCTCTCCCTCCCTCCTTCTCTTCCCGCAGCCGGGTTCCCAGTCGTGGCAGTGAAGCGATTCGCGGCTTCACCGCTTCGGAGTGGGCGAATTATGAATGGAGAAAGTGGCGGCGGCGGCGGCGACGGCCCGGCCCCATTCATAAAACCCCCGCCCCAACCCCGCCCGTGACTCTCAGTGGTTCCCTCACTCACTCACACACACACGTGTGCTTACACACACTCTCTCTCACATGTGTGTGCTCACTCACACGTGTACTCACACACACATGTACCTCTCTCACACACATGTACCTCTCTCACACACATGTACCTCTCTCACACACATGTACTCACACACACACATGTACTCACACACACACATGTACTCACACACACACATGTACTCACACACACACATGTACTCACACACACACATGTACTCACACACACACGTGCTTACACACTCTCTCACATGTACTCTCTCACAAAACAAAGATCCCCCATATAGCCTTAACAGACTGTAGGGGCAAGTGCTGTTAGTGAGCACCTATGAAGGCCGGAACAGTACACGAGGGGGTGGGTGGCCAGCACCACGCCCGACCGCCTTTGTCTCCCTAGTGGCAATGTTTACACACCGCACCAGGTACTCATTTGAGGCTGAGTAGACCTAGGGGAGGCCCGGGACCGGTTCAGATAATCGTCACTGGTGTTGGCCGTGAGCGGGAATCGAACCCGGGTCGCCAGGTTCATAGCGCAGCGCGCTAACTGCTACACTATCGCTCTCTCACACACATGTACTCACATGCACACACATGTGCTGACACTCGCGTGTGCTCTCTCACACACATGTACTGTCTCACGCACATGTACTCACATGCACACATGTGCATACACACTCTCTCACATGTACTCTCTCACACACATGTACTCACACACACGTACTCACATACACATGTGCTTACACACTCTCTCACATGTACTCTCTCACATGTACTCTCTCACACACATGTACTCACACACATGTACTCACATGCACACACATGTGCTGACACTCGCGTGTGCTCTCTCACACACATGTACTCTCTCACACACATGTACTGTCTCACGCACATGTACTCACATGCACACATGTGCATACACACTCTCTCACATGTACTCTCTCACACACATGTACTCACACACATGTACTTACATACACACACATGTGCTTACACACTCTCTCACATGTACTCTCTCACACACATGTACTCACACACATGTGCTTATACACTATCTCTCACACATGTATTCACACACAAACATAAACAACAAAGACAAAGATCCCCCGTATAGCCTGGAACAGACTGTTGGGGCAAGTGCTGTTAGCGAACACCTATGAATGTCGGTACGGCAAACACGAGAGCATGGGTGGCCAACACCATGCCCGGCCGCCTTTGTCTCCCCAGTGGTGATGTTTACACGTCGCACCAGGTACTAATTTGAGGCTGAGTCGACCTAGGGGAGACCCATGATCGGTTTAGATTATTGTCGCTGGAATCGAACTCAGTTCGCAGGGTCGTTGCGCAGCGCACTAACCACTGTGCCACCGCTCCCCACACGCACTCTCGCACAAGCGCATGCATACACTCTTTTTCACACACGCCAATGCACGTACTCACACATTCACCCACATATTTCAAACAGACGCTTGCACTGTTCAGACATACGATGGTCATGCACACAAAGACAAATATTCCCAAGTTAGTCTTAACAGCCTGTTGGAGAAAGTGCCCTGAGCAAGCGTCTATTTAGGCCAGCACACGCCTGCTTATGCCCAAAGATACACACTGATATGCGCCACCACATGTGTCAATACACACACGTGCCCATGCATATGTACACAGGTTCATACATATTCCACACACACATGCTCCAGCTAAACTGATCCACCCATGCATACATATACGCACTCTCTCATTATCTTGTAGACTGGGTAAGTTCTGTAAGCGAGTACCTATTAAGGCTCTACCACAACACACTCACACTCAGACCCACAGACTCAAAGCATCACACAGGCTCACACCTGGATGGGTCGATAGATGGAGGTGGGCACACAGGTGTGCAAAATCATACAAACGTATCATTCAATTCACTGCACGGTATTGTATATACATTGCCATTGAATTGGGAAATCTCAAAGCGCAGTAAGTTCGCAGGCTGACTTCACAATGCAAAGACGGTAATTCAGTAATTTAAAAATACATATATTGTGCTTCCCTATTGCGAAGTACAACGCATAGCCTAAATGTCACTGCCAATTTTATCAATTCATGGCCGCCCACTTATTATGATTGCCTGGGGTTGGTTAAGTCGGGCATGCATGGGGCCCATGTGACCACAACACCAGGTTATTCAATATTGGCATAAAGCAGCCAGCGAGGTGCACAGAGAAGCATCCAAACCACGTGATGCAACGACGACCTGAGCACATGCGCAGTGGCAGCTGGGAACCTATCAATTTAATTCGTAATAATTTACTTCTTTTTTCCAGGGTAGCCACATTGAGTTGTAGGGCCTTTTTCAGGAAGGTTCCTGGATTAGGTTTTTTTAATTTTAAGATGCTTTCCACTAAATATTGAGTGGTTATACATGCGAGAATAAACCGGAGCACCCGGAGAAAACCCACAAACGCAAGGGGCAATGCTCTATCCCCATACAGATGGAAACGGATGGCGACGAGTCCATTTACGTCTCCTGGCGAGCCAGGGTATGCCATCTCCTTGACGCCACCAACGCTCAATCTCCAAAGTGCTGGATTACAGGCGTGCACCACCACTCCCAGATTGTACTCTATGTATACTGTATGTTCTATGTAGAAGGGCCATTGCGAATAACGTCACCTATTATATTTTATTCTCCTTTTAAGAACAGTGTTGATGAATATGCGTGGTTATGTTTGTACGATTTGTACTTGTGCAAATAATATGTAGTGTGTCCTTTACACATTGCACTTTGTAAAGGCATTTGGAGGGGAAAATGTGGTGTTAATTAACAAACGCAACTAAAACACTGCACGGCAGTTATATCCTTCCGGGATTTTGATGAACAATATTTTTTGTCACAATGGGCTGTCCCCTTGCTTGCAAATATATTGTGATAGTAATATTTTATGACAGCCCAGCCTATGACCAAATCAACTGAAATGCAGCTGATATCGTAATATTTTATAAGCCAAGCAGATTCCAGCCTGGACAGAGCTTGGAACGGTGATCACCATTGCTGAGTGGCTACGTGGTGGGCAGCAGAGGTCACTGTAGAACACTTCATTGTTGTGCTGTACTTCTATTCTCCCACATCTATGCTCCCTACCTTCAACCCTTACTCACCATCATGGTGAAGTATGGTAAAATAACCCACAAGGTTTGCAAGGCATGGGAAGGCTGCAGGGGCGGAGCCAGGGGGGTGACAGGGTAGACAAATGTAAAAAAAAAATAAGAAATCGAAAATCTGAAACATTCTGCGTATAAGTGTAGGACACTCGGTCTGGCGGACTCCGTGCAACTGCATTGTCAGAGTGTGTCGCCAACCGATTGCGTGGGGTATAGCCGATTTCTCATTCAATCATTCTTAAAATTAAAATTTGTTGAATGTCACCCCGGGCTGAAAATCCTGGCTCCGCCCCTGGGAAGGCTCACACCCAGCAGTGGATTAACAAAGGCCTTTACATGTAATTTAACGACAGCTTAATGGCTATATAATAACACAAATAAAGTGCAATGCAACAGTTTTTAGTGGAAAATAATGAACAACAAAAATGCAACAAAAGTTTATCAGCAAAGTAAGCACATGTCAAAGAACAAAACAACTTTAACGCAGTTCATTTTCACAAAAATGCTTTGCAAATGTTCAGTTCCTTGATATATGACCCTCCCAAATCCACACCTCTGATGAGCATGGACGGCTACATATGGTGCGAAAGAAGTTCAACATACATAGGTACAAGTCAACTGTAAACAATAAGTGTAACATTATTACCATATTGTTTGGGCCTTTCGGTAAAGTCACGTAGATAGGTTCAAAGAAAATAACAAAAAAATAACAAAAAAACTACGACGTTTCGATCGCAACACAAGCGTTAGTCATGAGGAAGAAACAATAGCTCTTTTTTTTTACGAATGGCTTGTGTAGCGATAGAAACGTCGTAGTTTTTTGTTATTTTTGTTATTTTCTTTGAACCTATCTACGTGACTTTACCGAAAGACCCAAAGAATATGAATTCCTGCAGTCACGAAAGCTTTAAGTCAAGATATTATTATCATCATCATTCTCAACCGTATTTGTAGGATACCACTATCGATGGAAGGAAGGACATCTAAAACAAAGCAATACCCCCAAATGTCACCCCCATGTCCTGCGTGATGTGAGCACCTAGCAGAAGATTCTCTTGAATGCATCGGGTGAACACTTGTCGGCAGCAGGGGATAAAATTGTCCATTAGAAATGCAATATTTCTGTGTCCGGGTCATCAGTTCTTGATCCATGTCATTCCAAACCCTCTTCTCGCTGCTAAATTATTTCCCCATAAACCCCATGCATCCAGTAAACAAATACTAATGATCCTAGTCCTCACAATCCCTTTGATGCTATTTCTCTAATTGACACTATCTACTTACGCCTTTACAAATTCACCCCCTTAGCCACCTCCTCTTCTTCTTCATCAATGCATGGCCCCTCCCTGCTGAACACATTTACTGAATACATAAAAGCCTCACTCTGCATTAATACCATCCCTGTGTTCTCTTTGCTCAAAATATCCCCATTCCAACCCTCATCCAATACCAATTGAACCCAATTCACCCACCTCAGCCGTTTGAAAAATCACGACGAGCCATTCATTGGTCAGGAACCCACTGCCAAGAAAGGAAGGAAATACATTGTGGAAATGAAATTAAGTAGTGGGGAACAAAAAAAACACACATGAGAGACCATAGAGACACGAGAGGGGGGGAGGGGGGAGTGTCCTGGCGTAAACCAATGGGAGTGTCTGTGTGCAAAGGGCCCTGCAGCCTAGGATCCATTCATAAAAATGTTGGGCAATGGTCACTGAACCAAAACAACGACAAAATGCTCCTGATTGCCACGTTAGTGTTGCTGATCTCTGTCAGTGTCGTGTATATA